CCCCCCCCCCCCCCCCCCGAAGGAAGAAAAGAAGGATTGGCACTATTGTGGTCCAGATTAGAAACAGAAGTGGAGTTCAGTCCTGGGGACAAGTAATTCTGGTGTCCCTGTGTAAGTCCCTCTAGATTTGGCACTTGCCCAGTTAGTATATTTAAATACTCTTTTACTAAGCTTCCAGTTATACCAGGTATGTTCTCAAACCTGTTTACTCCAAAGCAGCTAAGCTGACTAAACTCTTCAGGGGAGGGCAGGCCAGCTTGGACTACTTGCAAGCCAATAGCTGTCAAACTGGTGGTGGTGTTCTGGACTGAAAACCAGGAAATGTGGGTCCTAGTGATATTTATGATTAGCATTAACAATTCTGTGCCTTTTGCAATGCTTAATTTTGATCCAGACCATATAGATTTAAGCTTCTGATGGTGGCACATTCAAGTATTTATGTATAACATTGCCTCAAAGAATGTTCTGTACCTGTGCGTGTTTGTCTGTAAAAATGGTTTGATGGTACACTTGTAATCTGCTGGTTCAGTGTATTTATCCAGCTACTCCCAGTCCAGCTCAAATATTAGAAGTCTATACTTTAGATGTGCATCCCAGCAGTGAACAGCCCAGAGGGTCATTTGCATTCACCTGCCTTAATTTGCCCCATAAAGATCCTATAGAAGGCATGTTAGACAGCATGTAATGTACATACACAAGACGACTGAAGTAAGGGTCTGTACTCAATGTTTTATTACTGTTTGGTCATTTACTAATGTCCTTAAACGTTTTTGTAAGTGAAAGAGTGCACTTGTTCTGCAAGTTAAAGAGTTGATGGAAGATTAGATAAACATACAGACATGGAAGTTAACTAATGTGCAAAGTGACTTCCAGTCCAGTTAGATATTTCTATACCTTAAGTCGAGCCAGGCATTTGGGGAAAGATGCTCCTTACCTTGGCAGTGACCAGGGTTTTTTCTAACACTTTCTAGCCTGGAGTAAGCAACACTTCAGACCTGCTTTTGTTTTAGTAGTCTTCTCATTGTCTCTGTCTGGCAACTTAGCTGTTCCATAAGGTACGGGGGTATTGTTGAGGAGGCTCCATTGAAATATAAAAACTTTACGGCTGCTGCCATTTTGAGGGGAAATTCAAGCTCAGAAGCCGGTGCATGGTCATGAAGGAGACTCACTAGCAGAGGAGACTTGGCTGTAATAGTGATGAAGAGTGTGAAGTGCATTTCAGAAACACTATACAGGTTTCCCTTGCTAACCATGGTTTTGCCAACCACGGTTTTGAGTATCCATGCTTAATATTCTATATACCCTTTTGGCTACCATGGTATACTGTTTTGAGTAACTCCAACTTTCAATGGCTGTGCATCAGCCTGTCACCTGCCATTTTTCCCATAAGTCTTGTCTTGCCAACCATGGGAACTTTCAGAAACCTAACCCCAGCAGTTGGCAAAGGAAACTTGTATTTCAACAAGCTTGACTACAGCCTATGTCTCTCTTATCCAGTTTTCCATTTTTAAAGAGAAGCTTTGTGGGGCAGGGGGGAGACCCTTGCATTCTCAGCTTTAATAGAGTGGCCTACTTGCAAAATAATAAGGCAATACTAGGTTATGGTTTTCTCTGTCTCTGTCACTAACGTGTAATAACAGGTATAATAACACTGCTAATTCTATACCCCCTATACTTTCTACTATCCAGAAGGGGAGTGGTGCCAATGTTCTTGTGGGCATGTAACCCCCTCATTCTCAAAGTAACTACTACTCTGCCAGTCTTGACTGTAGCTACCTGACCATGTTCTAATTGGTATTGGTAATGACGACTGCAAGCACCAAGGTTTCAGTCAAAGAGAAGAACACCCACCCACTATTATGCGATTTTGCAGTAGCCTCAGCTGGTCATTCATCTGACTGGAGTTCAGAGCTAGGAATATACAGAAGAACCTTAACCCTTCAAGACAGCTAAGGTTGTGAACCCAAGGTCAGTGTGCTGTCATACCTCTGTTCTATGGAGGTGGTTGCCATAAGCACTGCAGTTTACCGCAACCCAATTCTGGAGGAGGAAAAAGGATTTCTAGAAAGGAAGAGGGTCACGAGCAATCCCCTGCTTTGAGCACAGTGCCTCAGAGGGGTGGCAGGCAGCTGCTGCAGTTCCAACTTGAGCTCTAACCTGGGCTCTGAGTCGGCTGCAGCTGCTGTGCTGCTTCCCTCCCCTGCCACTGCTTACTGAACCATGGTTCTGGCCCTGGCCCGGAGTATGGCCCCTGTCTGGCCAGGAAGCAGCTGTGAAGGTGGTGGGAGGGGGGGATGCGGCAAGGGGCAAAGTGCAATGGGAACTGCTGCTCTATTCCTCCCCTGCCACCGCTTTCCCCATTGTGCAGTGGGAGAACAGGACACATTTCTTCCCCTGCTGTTTCTTCTCCCAGTCATGTGCACTGCCTCTGTTTCCCTACCCTTATCTTTGCTCCAAGTTGGCAGGCTCTAGCCATGCTGCAGCCTGGGGTGCTGAGCATACGCCTAGCCTGGTCTCCATAGCAATGATGTACAGTCTATATGGCTTCTATGGGCTGGACTGGGGCCATGCTCAGTGCCTCAGGCTAGAATGGGGACAGACCCTGCTGGTGCAGAACAGAGGCTGCAGGGAGCAGGTGGGCAGCAAAGGGGAAGGCACAAGCAGGGGCCAAGCTGCTTGACCTCCCTGCTGCCTCCCCCTGCTGTGATGAGAGGAATGAAAGAAAGATGACTCTCCAATAATTAGATTCTATACATGGAATATTATAACAATTTTTAAAATTTTTCATGTATAGAATATAATTATGGGGGGTCATCTTAAGTTCAGGGTTATTTTAGATTTGTAGAAATATGGGTAATTGCATTTTTGTTCATTTGTAGATCCTGCTATATCTTGGACTAATAAAGGCAGCATGCAGGTAAGTGAATGAGTGCTCCAATATTTGCTAATTAGTGCAACGCTAGAAGCTGTAATGTAAACGAAGTATAACCAAAACCTGGGAAGAAGTGCACTAGAGTAGATAATCCTTCATACCATATCATGTGCACTCCCCACTACTGCCAGAGTATTTGTCCTGAAAGCAAGTCTGTTTAATAGCTCTTTTTGTCTACCTAATGTCACTCACTCTTCTTAGCAATTGGATGAGTTTCCTCAGCGTTCTTCTTTCTGTCTAGGCTAAAAACAAGTGTTTTGACAACGGATGCTGATTTATACGGGCCAGTCTTAGGGCACTACATCACTGACTAACTGCAGATACAGACCCAAGGCCTGTACAGGATGACAGCTTTGCTAGAAAAGCTATTTTGTCCTAAGGATATGAACAAGGAGTGGAGGGGGAGCAGACTTGCTGTGTACCAGCTGTTCTGCACTACCTGCTCTGTGTCTGTACCTATCCCAGGGTAAGTGAAAACTGAATTGCAATAATTCAGCATTTGTGTCGTTTAGGGTAAACTGCCTCTGCTGAGCTTTTACTCACCAAAAATAGTTACTGAGAAACTGTTACTTTTGTAATGTACTGTAACTTGTCTGTCTTCTTAGAAACAATACTCGTCACTGAAAGCACCTTTTACAATCTGTACTGGACTGTTACAAAAGACAATCTAGTAGCTAGGATAGTTTAAATTCTCTTGAAACTGCATTGTTTTGTGTAGATTTTTAATTCAATCTATTTAAAAAAAATACCTGTACCCAGGGGCGATGCATACGGGTGGTGCACCCCCTGCAAAAAGGCGCCTCCGGCGTCGGCAGTGCCTGTGGTTGCTGCTCACCACCCCACCGCCAGCAGCGTCTGTGAGGAGTCCATGGTTGCCCCTGGCCACTGCCAATGCTGTTGGCGACGCCTGCGAGTGGTCACCAGCCCCTGGTTGGTGGCATCAGCAGGAGCGCTAGTGGCATCTGTGGGGGCTCCCCCACTTGCTGCTGCCAGTGGAGCTGTGCCCCCCCAGCCGCTGGGGACACATGCTGTTCATGTCTGTATCACTTCATAGATGCCTGATCAGGCTAGTTTTCCCTAAATAAATTAAGCTCCCTCTTTCCAGTTAATGCAGGAGTTAAATGCCACAGAAGCTAAATTCATTAAACTGGATCTTAATAGGTTAGCAATATATACAAATGGTGAAAGTAATTTTGTAAGATCCTTAAAAACATTCAACTTGTTAACTTCAAGTAACATAGCACACAGCATGTCGACATTTTGCTCTACAAACCCCTGTGCACAAACACAGAGAACCAGAACACACCCAGAACAGACACGTGCGCACACAACCAGAACCAAACGTGTGCACACATGGGACCAGACAGAGGCAGAGAAACAGACAGCTGGGCTCCTGGGCCACTGGACAAAGTCTGCTCTGAGGCAGGCATGCATGTACACACCCGCTGACATGGAGCTAATGCCAGAGCCCGGAGCAGATGTTCGTAGCCTCCTGGCTGCAGCCAGCCCAGGCTCTGGGTAGCCGCTGCCAACTATGGCAGGGCTTGCAGCTGCCCAGCAGCCTGCTGGGAGCAGCCCAGGCTTCGTGGCTGGCAGCAGCTGCCTAGAGCCCAGGCCAGCGGTGGCGTGCCAAGCAAAATGACCTCACATGCTATGCTCGACGCATGTGCAGGGGGTTGCTGGCCCCTACCCTACACTTTTAATCAGCCTTTCTCAGTCCCTCCATCACTTTCATTTATCAAGTTGCATTAAATTTAAGACAAGTGAGAAATGAAAAACACTTGCACTGATCATTTTTATGACTCTTTAATGGACTGATCCAAAATAAGTGGCCTGGTTAATAACAATGTTCCATTTTCTTATGCATAAGGCAGCACTTGTACCACTACACTGAACAGCCTGTTAGGAGGAAGAGTAGAAATCACTGTCACCTCTCAAAACTTCCCCATACCCTCTGCTAGTACAGCATCTGCAACAGTGTCACATTTCAATAGGGCCAGTCAAATACCATTGTATACATAATCAGATTTTCAATTCTTAATATGCCTGGGCATTTTGGATTGCAATTACTTAGTCATGACAAATTCTAAGTAATAGAATGTGACCAGTTATTACAGTATTGCCCCAAAGCCTCTGAACTTGATTCAAGAAAGCAACTTTTAGCACGGATTTAAGTTTCGGTGGGAAAATTCCATATGCATGTTGCAGCAGAGTCTCATCAAGAGCAACAGTTTGAAACTATTTATAAAGTATTTTAATTAAGTCCTTATAACAACTTCTGCCTTTTAATCTCAATTAAAGTCCCTATTGCATGCTTAGGTTGTAGTTTCTGCTTATTTCTCTTCTGTATTTGTTTTTCCATTTCCTCAGTCCCCTTCAAACCTCTGTCCTTTGCACTTTATTACTTTTGCCTATGGAAAAGAGATGGGAGTATTTAGAATAGAAGTGATGTCAGGAAGTAGGAGAGACTGACCTCAATAGAAGTCTTGTTTAATTGACACAATTATTGCTTTTCCTCTAACCTGCTTGCTGCAATAGTTGATGACTCTGATTTCTTCATATAAACTAAACAGTTTGATTGATGTAAAACATTTCAAATAAGCCGTTCAAGGAATAAATTCCAACAAATATTTAGAGAGCTAAAATTGTTCAATTCCACAGGCAGCAGACTAAGTGTCCCAACGAAGATAAAGGTTGAACGTTGATTTATTTCAGTACTCAAATAAGATCATGTACACTGCTAAGGGGCAAAGGTATATGCAGTCTAGGATGGCAGGATTTCTTTTAATAAGTAACAGGAAATAAAGCATCTGAATGTGATATATGTGTTCATTAAGCTAAACTGATTTTTAATAAATAATGTGAAAATCCCATTTACAGTACCTGACAGACTTTTTTTTTAATAACCATTGAATTTCGTGGTAAAAATAGAAGGTAAAGCATGTTTGTTTGCTTTTTCTTTTTGCAACATATTCTTCCTTCTGATTCAGAATTTAAATCAGAATTATCACCTGTGCCTGATCTGTTCCTTTATGATGTTACTTTAAATCCCATTCTGTTGTACAAAACAAAAAGCAGTCTAATACTGAATTTGACATGTGAAAGGTGATTAACTGACAGCTTTGGAGACAAGGACGTGTTTCATGACATGCATGGCATGGACACCAAAAAATTAGCTTCCCTATGCTGCCCTGCCAGCAGGGCTGAATTCTGATTTGAAAGATTTGCTTTATTCTCTTCAGACACAAAAATGGCAGATCAAACTCCAGCTTTCAGGCAGAGTAGTCAAGGACTACAATTAGCTGAAAATTAGTGCCAATTAGTACCGGATCTGAGACCAAACCCATTTAATATAGGCCATCTAATAGCCTTCAGTTATACCTTAAAACAGAAGACTGGATTTCTTAAGGCAAAGCTTTCTCTCTCTACAGATCATTTCCTTCTACTAAGGTCCCAGGTACTTTGTGTGTCTGCCTTGTGCTACTATCTTTCCTGTTGCTTTGTTTGTTAAATCTGCGGTGGTGAAAGCAATTCTTCTTCCTTGCTTCACAACCTGACCAGTAATCAGTATCTCTTCTCCCATCTTAGGAGCTGATATGTACCTTGAAGGAAAGAGAATGAACAGGTAAGGGTTTATACACACGTTGCAAACCAGAGAACATTCATCCATTTAAAATAAACATGCTAGAGTCACCATCCCCACCCCCCCATGCCTTCTTAGACAAGTGTCCAGGCCCAAATCCCCACCTCTCCAGAGACAGCATCAGTTGGCAGAGCTCCTGCTTTACCCATTTTGAACAGAAGTTTACCATTGATACCGCATCTCCCTGATAAAACAAAGGGGGGAGGGGGCAGCTTTCTAGTCTTCTTGGAAACAAAACAACGGGTATTAAATTATACACTGACAGGTCAGTGCCTAGTCCCATTTTGCCCCAGTATCTCCTAAGTCTTCTATAAACTAGCCTAGTTGCAAATTGCAATTGGAGCTCTGTCTCTTGGGAGCTGTGAACCTTAACAAGACAGAAGCTACTCATCAGATTTTAATGACTTAATAATTTTCTCCCACTCTGAGAGAAGTCTCACTTGAATTTAGACTTTTCTCATAACTTTCTTGATTTGGCTTCACTTTTGCACATAAGGCAGCTCCTCTAAGGAAAAAAAAATAGGTGCTTCTATACACACTTAAAAACATCCAGCCCTGCCGAACAATAAAGTTGGAGAGGGTGGGAGACTAGGAGGAACAAAGTCTGTACAGCAAGGTAGACGTATGTCATTACTTAAGGGCTTTATACAAGGTGGCCTACTTAATAGGTTAAACTCAAATCCTATGGCTCCTGGATCAGAGACCTGTTTGTCAAAGCATCCATGCAAGAGAAGGAACCAGTTGAGCCCAGATTAACCCCTTGTACCTACATATTACTTCCTACCCTCAGGAAGAACTTGTTTTTCAGGTTTGAAATTTAATGCATGAAAAGACTCCAGAATCAGGACTTTGTCACTAAAGCTGAGCCATAAACTAAACTTGTAATTAAAAGACCACCTCAAAATAGTATCACAGTTACCTGAAGTTTTCCCTAAACCAGATCTGGGTTGAATTCAGTAGAACTAAGTCTTTCACAGCCACCCGTGATCCTCCTACAACAAAGGGGTCTCTAGGTCCTATTGGTGAAAGGTGACAGCAGTGAAGACTTAACCTCTTGCAGCAAGCATGTTCAATACATATGTTATGTTCATGTCCACACTGACCCCTGGTTCTCCTCTTTCTGTGTTAATCAAGGCTACTGTTGACACAACATCTACCAGGGTGGCAGCCAAGCCTCCGTGCAGTGTGCCAGCCCTGTTTGTGTGCTGCTCCTCAACTTTCATTTCACATGCAACCTTCCCAGGAGTTGCAGAAAGAAGTTTAATCTGAAACCAAACAGAAACACAATCCTGTTACTCACAGGCAACTGGTAGGGGAGGGACGGGATGGGATGGGGGGCACATGCCCCCCCAAGATTGGCCCCCAGAACTGGGGCAGATTTTTGCTGCATGGGCTGGCAGCATGTTTGGGGGGGGGGGGGGCACTAAGCCATGGCACAGAAGTACAGGAGTGGATATGGGGCTTTTGGCCTACCCCGGGTCCCACCCACAAATTATGCTGCCCCCCAGACTCAGGAGGTACCAGTCACCCTTGCTATTACTTCAAGAGCTCAGCATGATGACAAATCCAGTAGCTCCTCTGGGAGAAAAGATCAAGTTGAAAGCTAGTCCAAAAGTTGCAATGGGCTTTTACAAAAAGAGAGACTAACATAGCGATTTAAAATTGTTTTATCAGATATTTCTATAAAATTGCGACTAATATTTTGCAGGAGAAATTTATGTTGCCCATAAAAATAAGTGTTGACATGTGTCAGCACAGACCCGTTGCAGTGAGGCTGAAATAATTATTCAACAGCCTATTTCAGTTAAGTGACCTTTATACCTAGAATAATGCAGAGTGATGCTAGACTTTTATTTTAAACTTTACGGTCTGCTGTAATTGCATAGGCTGACTTGGTGGTCCACAAAATGGAAACAAAGGAACAAAACCCTTTTTACAAACTCAATGAATGCTTAAGTAATAGAACTGAATTCATCTTTTGAAAAAGAATGAGAGAAGGATTAGCTTGACATGCTCAGGGCACCTACACGGGTAAACTCACCAGCACTCAGACCTCTGTAAACTCCCTATTTTGGCATGGATAACCCACTATATCAGTATAAATAAACAGGACAGACAGAAGGGTAAAGTTAAGTTTACTCCTATGCTGAGTTTACCTGTAGCAGTAAGCAGCTTTCCATGACTTCTCCCAGCCCTGTCCTCCCTCTGCCTGTGGTGTGGGTGCAGATTCCAGCTAGTGAGGAGCTTCCAGCTGTGCTCACACTGCAAAGTTTGCAGCCGTCCAGCTCTGGTAGAGCAACCCACCAGCTGGAAACTGGTGGTTGCTTCCCAGCTAGGGAGTGGGTGCAAGGAGTAGCAGCAGTGGTGCAGGCACAGTTCCTAGCTGCATAGCCCTGGCATGAGTGAAGGGACCCTCCACCCTCTTCTCCAACATGCCACTGAACCACCTGGCCCATGTAGGACTTGAGCCAGGCTGTTTTAGCCAGAAGCTTGTTAAAGGTTCCTGGCCGCTGACATGGAGTTAATGTTAAAAATTTGCTTTGATTTATCCACCTGCTGTAGTTGTGTGGGCACACTGGATATCCCACAAAAGGGAAACAAACAGAAACCTGGAATGAGATGCTTCCTCTTTCAACTGTAACAACCTCCATGAATATTTACAAAATGGAACTAAGTGTTTTTAAAGGATTATGAAGAAAGTTAGCTTGACGAGATCAGGGTTTCCACATGAGTAAATCTATCAGCAGTCATACTTCTGTAGTTCCCTGCTTTAACTAGATATCCAGAATAAGAAGGTATACCAGTATGACTTCTTGTATGTGCGCGCTCTCACTCCAAAATGTGTGTATTCACCAAAAGAATCAGACTGATGCAACTAGGTAGATAAGTTTTTTGGGGTAAAAGGTTGAAGAAGCTAGTTCATCAATATTATGTCTTTGCTGTTTTCACACAGTTTTTTTTTTTCAAAGCACACTCCTTTTATGAACTGGGGAATCTCCAATGTACTATTAAGGGGTGTTGCATGTACCAATGTGAGACAAGTTCCCATAGAACTGGGGAAAGCAGAATGTATATTCTGCAAATACATTTGGATTGGTAGCAACTGTTGTATTGTTCTTAACTCAACCAGGATTTTTTTTTAGAAGAAGGATAGATAGATAGAAAGTTAAAGTATGACACTGAAGAGGGAGATACAGACCTAAAGTCTGTTACTGTAAAACTATGCAGATGGCTTTGTAGTTTATCATTAAATGTTGCATACAAGAGAAAAATAGCTTAGGGATAAAGATGACAAGACTTGCTTTGACAGCAGGAAGTAGGGTATGATGCATGCTGGGATCCTGCTTTTCTCTGTTGAAAAATCACAGATTCTCTGGTTACAAATTGCAATTTTTCTGATTCAAATCTCCAAATCCATGTATTTCCACAATTAAATTGAAATGCCACTATATAGGTAGCAGTTGAACACAATGTTTTATTGATATAATTGCTATTTTAAAGCAATTTGGAAGCCTACCAGTGCCTCAAACACTATAATAAAATACATTCTAAATACCTATACATTTTGGTGTTTTATTTTGGGGTTCTTATCATGGAAAATCAGAGCTCCCCCTGCTTATTTCACTCACCAGGATGCGGGTCTGCTGCAGCTGTTCCCCCAACACTGCTTTGTGGCATTGAGCAACCCTGATATGCCAGTGCCCTGCCCAGGCCATTGCCCCTCACTCCTGACCCACAGCCCCTGCAGCCCTGTTTGTGCCACTCACTCCCCACCCACAACCCTGTGCCCCCCCACCCCGCCTGTCAGAGGGGGTCAGGAACCCAGGTCTATTGCCTCCTACCCTTTGCAGAAGTGCCCGAGCAACAAGTTGCCGCCTGTGGGAAGCAGCAGCTGCTGCAGCTGGAACGAAGCATGGAGTCTGGTTCCCCCTCCGCCACAGAGCCGGTGGGGTGGGGGCAAATGCATCCTGGTGGCTGCAGGCTCAGGCCCCCCTGCCCTGCTGCCCTCCCCCTGGGGCCTTCACTTTAGACCAGTTCTTTTTGACCAGGTTGTTATCTACCCAGTAGAACACTGTGTCCCAAACAGCACTCTGAATATAAACCTTGGCTTCTCTTTCTAACCCTCTCGCTGCTGGATGGGGTCATATGAAATTATCAAAATGCAATTGCAACCTGAAAAGGTTTGGGAACCACTGGACTTGAGTTTGTAGGAGCTTAGACTAAAGCTCAGAAATGAGGACTGCAGTTTGGGAAGTTTTTTCCTTTGGCATGGTGGAGCATTTCACCAGGAGGGTAAATCTCATGTGATAAGAAAACATTTTTCCAGATGTCAGTCCAAGTCTAGAAGAAACTTCAACAGGAACTGAGGACCATCACAAGCCACACTATGTTCCACTTGAAATCCTAGGTCCATATCTTTGATTTTGCTTTCTCTAGTAAATATGGCAAAGAGAGAGCGAGAGCACTATGGATATATGTCATGCAGCAATTTTTTTAAAAACCAGAATCTTCTGCTGCCCAGGCCCCCATTTCTGCAGGTCCACCTGATTGTATAGTTCTAACAGCATGTAATCGGAGCTTGATTTAATTTACTGTTCTTTTACAGCGGTGATCACCAACCAGTGGATCTTGATCCACCGGTAGATCTCAGAGCCTCTTGGGATTAGAGAATTCAAACCTCCCTGATTAGAGAATTTCAGAGGAGGAAAAAGGGAATTACCACCCACTTCCCTTTAGCCTTTCAGGTTCTTTCACATTTAAGCTATGTGGTATGTTAAACATCTTACTGGAGTCAATGACTCATCAAAATACTTGCTCCGAACACTGTAAAACAAACCTTGATCCCATCCCATCTCAATCCAACCACCAGCCCAGCTGTAGATTAAATCAGGTTAGTCAGGCCCAAATTTTTTCACTTCCTAGAGGCCAGAGAGGTGAGCTGAGGGTCCTACCTTGTGTAGTATGGGGTCCAAGGCAGGCGTGCTCAGCCACTTTACTATCGCCTCCTGCAAACGCTGCAGTGTGGCAGTGCTCATGGTATGAGGAGATGAGCCAGAGGCAGCCCAAACCCAGAGTGTTGCTGCTCCTCTGATCCTGGGATCTCAGTGTTGTTCCAAGGGAAACAAGTGGCCAACAAAACTAGCTGGAGGAAAAGCAGAAAGGGAAGAAATAAGGTAGGGAAGGGAGAGAGGATTAGAAAGAGAAGGCAAGGTTCATATTCCAAGTGCTGCTCAGGTCACAGTGCTCTTTCGGATCGATGATATCAACAAAGAACATATCCAGACTCTGATGGCAATGACTCAGAGGTGATGGGGGCCACTGAGACTGCAGATAGGGCAGGGCAAGGTGGGACCTTGCCAGGCAATATCCAGGGAAAGCAGAGGGCAGTGCTTCAGGGTTGTGACACAGAGCAAGCCTTTGTGGCCTAGACTAGTGCTAACAGTCCCCCAAAGCCACTGGCCTTTGAGGCACTCTACTTGATACCAGCTGACAATTAGACATCCAGCCATTGATTACTACCCTCCGAGACTGGTACTCCAGCCAGTTTTATATTAGGGCTGTGCGAAGCTTTGGGTGGTGATTCTATTTGGAGGAGATTTGGCCTGATTTGGTGGCAAAATCTCTGAATCTGAATTGAATCGGGACCAGTTACAAGGTCTGAATCGATTCAAAGCTCTCTGAATCTTCAGAAAAGATTTGGAGAGCTTTGATGATTTGGGCAGTCCTCAGTGGCTGCAGCAGGGAGCTGCAGCTGACTCCGAGCTGGTAAGTAGGGGGAGCGGACCATGGGGGGACCCCTGCCGGCCCCCCAACCCTCCCTGCTCCCCCAGCCCCACCTGCTCC